TCGTCTACAGACCTGTTGGCTCTGTATGCAAACTGCAGGGGGTCCAGGAGGGGGGCCGTGAGGGTCCTGAGATGGGAGATTGATTTTAGTGACCTCCGATTGGCGTAACCGGGTGTCATCACTGCCGACGTGAATTATAATTTACGTTTACCCTTAGCCAGCAGTTTTAAATTTCCCTCAACGTCGCCTGCTCTGGCTTTTGGAAGACAATTGACTATGGTTGCTGGTGTCTCTAGCTTCACATGTCTCAGAACAGAATCACCAGTTACAAGAGTTTGATCCCCGGCACGTGTCTCGCCGAGTGGGGAAAAACAGTTAGACACAAATGACTCTGCAGTCTATTTACACCTACAGGCCAGTGGACACTCTTTCAAGGATGAGGATGTAACATCCTGGACAGGGAGGAACGCTGGTTTGAGCGTGGAGTCAAGGAGGCCATTTATGCGAAAGAGGAATGGAGGAGGGGGCCTAAGGGTACATCTTACAATGCTATGATTGCAGCCATTCCCCTACTCTCTGTGAATGGTACTCATAGCCATTAATCAATTGTTGTTGATGGGTGGCCATGACCATTTGCATATCAATTATCAAGAAACTGACCTCACAGCCCATTGTTCGCTATTGGTGCTGATTTCTGTCATTATGCAAATGTGATGTTTACTGTTTGTACGTTTATAAGGTTGGAAACATGTAGTCAGCTGAGACCGAAGAAGTCACCTGGATGAGTGATGAAATGTTTCTCTCACTGAAAACTCTACGTTCAGATGAACAGAATCAACCTTTCTGGGATTTCCTTACCTGGATGATTGAGCATGCATTAATACATCTATACAGAACGGACCAGCCTACCAGTGGATTTAAACGCAGGACCTTCTTGGTGCGAGGTGACAGCAGTAACCAGCCACGATGCCAGCCTCTTCAGAGAACACATTGAAACAAAGCACCAGCACGAGAGAAATCCCTTGATCAATATTGTGTTTAATATGACAAGTATGGCACATCATCATAAATCAAATTATAACAGTTTGGTCATGTTGAACTATGAAGGTTTTTTCTTTATCTCATCAGTTCTGTGATGCTCAAACTAAAACAAGCTTAAGAAAATATTGTAAAATGTTAACAAAAATTATATTCAAAATAAAAAAGCAGACTTTTAGGAAATGAAACAATCTGCTGCAAACGATGAAATTTTCTTCTTTTCTGTCTGTCAGATCAGACAGTTGTGAAGGTGTAGCGAGTTATGTGATGGTAGTTCTCTCCAGGACGCAGAAGGCAGTCAGGAAATGAAGGCTGAATACACACACACACACACACACACACACACACACACACACACACACACACACACACACTATTTTTTAATTCTCATTAGTCTGTTTAACTAAACAAACAACCAAACAGCAACGAGGAAACTTGTTTTCACTGCTGTTCAGTAAGCAGTTAATGAGTGTTTGCATACTGTTTGATTTGGGGTATTGGCCAGGGTTTGATGGACTGGTGGGGTAATGTGTAGAAGTGCAACCACAGCCATCAGAGATGTGCTCAGTCAGTATGAGAGATAGAAAGAATCAGTGGTGTGACAGAAGGCTCTGCAACTTCCTATAACACACCCCAAAGAATACTTTCCAGTGTTGTGGCAGCAGTCTTCACTTTGTCTTTGACCAGGTAATAAAAACAAAAACAAACAATGGTCACCATGTAGACATAAGCATATTGATTAACGACAGACGGAATAAATCATGAAATTACAATCAGATATTACTCAGCTGTTGGTGAAATAAAAGCAGGAAATTAATTTCCAGGCAGGTCATTATACCAAATTGGCAGTTAGATAGGATATGATAAAACAATGAACCAGATCATGAACACACTGGTCGGGTGTTCAAGGTATCTGAGCTGCTAATGTCTAGCCCACCCTCAATGCCACCGTTGTTTCTTTTGTTTTGTTTTTTCAGCCAGTCAGTTTAAGCATCTGTGCACCTTCTGTCATCAATGGAGGTGCTCTTTGTCCATATGGGTACAGACCTCATTGAGCCATACAACTGTAGTGCACAGGGCTAATGTTATCATAGGGCTTTGGAGTTGACGTCACGCCGCAATGCATTGTGGGAGCGCAGCTCCATTTTCGGGGTCTACGAATCAAAACAAACACACTGTGTTGGAACGACGACGACAAGAAACATGCTTAAAAGCAGCTCAAAAGAAAACGGACGGTATAGAGGCCGATTGCGTCCAGAGGCGAAGCAGTGGTACTTGGAAAAAAATAGAGTGCATCGCAAATCTGGACCCATATGAAATACGGCAGTGGAGTAAAGACCCAGACGACTTACCGCCACTGTCCTACCCCGATATCTTCACGTATCTTGTTTGTGGAGTAAGCGCTTACACAGCGAACCAGTTTCGTAATTACAAGTCACTGGAGGCGCACATCCAATTTACAAATGGCTGGGTGCAAGATTTGGCTATTTTCAAGCCGCCAAACTCTGAGTACGTCGTCGAAGTAAGTCAGCTGGAGTGCATCGAGTGAAATAGCCATTTTCCACCCCCCACCATAATTAATGTTACACATTTATCATTTAACTGCTAAAATATCGTTATCATATTATATGCCCGTAATTGTAAAGTACATGCAAATTAACACATTGATAATCGGGCAAATTATTAACGCCAATTTGTGTCCTTCCTGTCTCATTTCATTTATTGTCTTTACATCAACCAATCAAGTCACTCCATTCGATGTTTGATCGCAATTTCTATAACTTCCGAGACGATGATATTATTCAGCTATAAAGTGTGATGTGAACATATTTAGAACTTACCAGAATGAAAATGTCTTGAGCACACCAGCTGATATCTGGAGACGTAACAGAACTTGATATCAGCTCGTCTCACGGCTGCTATCCAGGCTAGACGCCTTCGTTTGGTAATATCCGGTACATGAGCTCCTTCATGTTGCTTCCAGGTTGGGAAAGCATAAAAAGACAATCCAAACTTATTCCCGTGCCGGTCGTAAGATCGAACATTGCAGCCGACCACACAGCAAGTACGAACCATGTCTATGCTTTCGCTCCTTACTTAGACCCCCAAAATGGCGGATCAGACCAAAATCCTTTCCACGCCCACCCCTGTGACATCACGCTCCAAAGCCCTATTATCAATATCCCAAAGTAATGCAACCTCACAACATTTCTGCAGAGGGAGTTACATGGACAAGGGAGTTCCTGCTGTGACAAAACAAATTTCCCACGTGTGGGACTAATAAAGGTTATCTTATCTTATCTTATCTTATCTTATCTTATGGACACTATTTCAGGTTATCCTCAGAGCTGGAATCCCAAAGGAGATTCTGAGCAGACTAATGGTTAATTACGTCTGTTTGGATGACTGTTTGTCAGTACCACACATACGGTCTGGTCGAGTTCTGAGGAAGACTTTGAAAGATCATACATGACAATGGATGCAATCAGGGAAAAGTGACTATATGTATGGACTGTGATACTTATGAGCTTGTCTTCTCTGACAGAGGTGTAGCAACACAGATTTCAACCTCCTAAAAGTTTGGAGAGGCAAAGCCCGTTTCTCCGAGGAGCCTGCTGAATGACTTTGGTATCTGATAAGTTGGGGCCTCAGGTGCCAGATTGCCAATCACACTTTGCTCATTTGTGATGACCAACTTATACCATCCAAGAGAGCATATGTTTGCATGCCACAACAGCATTTTGCTGTCTACCCTACCAGGAGGCATAAACCTACCGTAGATAATATATATACCTATAGACTTGCCAAAGTGTGACAATGCATTCAAGAGTTTAGAAGTCAATGAAAAGTAGGCGTGAAGGAATTAAAAACTATTCTGGAGATGGGAGCAATCAAAGAGTCTCAGACAGATGAGTCTCTAGAGAGCTCTGCAGATTAAGGTGAAGGATATGTTACATGCCTATCCATGTAAGGCCAGGAAGTGAACTTGACCGAAGGCTAACTTCCATCTACAAGAGAAAAAACACAACACTGAGTTTCTATTCATCATACCTGGTTAACAGCATCAGGCCAGTTCTGCGTCTCCAGACAGAAGGAGCTGTGCTTCCTGTACCTACAACCACACTTTCCTGCGATGGAGCCATCCAGGAAGTTGGCAGTGTAGAACTGGACTCCTGGCTGGTTAGTAGAAACCTCTAAGACACGCCCACTTGCTGGGTGACAGACTCTTTAAAATGAATAAATAAATAAACAATTAAGATGAGACTTATTTGTCCTCCTTAACTTCAGTGGATGTCACATGTGTCTACAGTATGTTTTAGAAAATGACTTCTGTGTCAAACCTGGCAGCGCGTTTCTCTGTCCATGGACCTCCGGGTGATGACAAACAGAAGTTGTGGTCAAACCCTGGGCCTTGAAGTTCCTTCAGACGAGGGCCAATGAGAACTGGTTCTCTGAGGTCAAAGGGTGTGTTTTTCACCTCTCTGATCTCTCCTGTTAGTATTTAGCGAATTAATTCATGACTTCGTATCAGGAATGTTAATTAATGTCACACAATCGATTCTATAAAGGTGAATTATTGCAGTTACGAGTTATTTACTGGAGCATTAAGATATATTAAATGACAAAAAGTCCATAAGTAACATGTTTAGCAAACTAAATCATTTGCTAGTGAGCGTTCTGCACACTATCTTTGCTGTACCTAGTACTTAGCTGCATCTCGCACTACAGGCACGTTCCTCTGCTTTATCACCATTGTCCAGTGGTTTCCATCAGGAGCTTGTCTGTATCTGAAAATCCCACAGGATCTTAGCTTCATCATTCTCATCCCCACAGTGACCTCTGGGAGGTTTCTGAATTACTGTGATAGAACGCCAGCCATACAACAAGTCCAAGAGTCAATCAAAGGCCTCCAAACATTATGTGGCCTTCACATGAGCTCACGAACGGTGGGTTTGGTTTATATAGTTAAGCACCTGCATACTAAAGAGGAAAATAACTAGAATTTGCCATTTCTGGAGAGACTGCAGTGGGATTGTAAAAATTCAAACTTGCATGTACCAGATGGGTCAGTTGTGAGAGTGCCACAAACATGGAGAGCCACACTATGGTGAGACACAGACGAAACCATCCACAAATGAAACTCAAATGAGGGAGGCAGGACATCAGAAAAGACCCACTTTTCTCTCTGTCAGTCTGTGAGAGCAGCGCTGCACCAAAATAGCTTGTTGCTGTAGACTGAACAAAAGTGTACCTAACAAAGAGGCACAGTGTTCTTTTACTGTCAGTAACATTCAGCACATAGCTCTATGCTGAACTGAGGTCAGGAGAGCGAGTTCAAAACTGATGTCTTTTTCTTTCTTTCAAAAACTGGTTGGAAAAATTAAACAGGGAGTAAACGGGAGCAGAGGATGACTGAACCAAATGGCTCCAGTTCAAAAGTTACACATCTCTGGGCTTTGAGGAAGGACTCGTTGAAAAAACAACACATGTAGCTACGTCTTGAGGGTAAAATGATCACTGTAGGGTGAAAACTGTGGTCACAGCGGCAGGTTAAAGAGAAAGTTTCCAGCCGAGATTTTCTGCCTGTCTCACACTAAATCACAGGTGTTGAACTCCAGTTATGGGCTCAAAATGTGGTCGTAAATATTTTGTACTTGTAAATCAGGATTTGTATGTGTAAAAACAATTTGTGTGTGCGTAAAAAAGATTTGTGTGGACTTAGCCAAAAAAAACCCTGCAAGTGACAAGTACGAATTTTGACCCCTATTTGTTTTCCTTTCATCTGATTGGTCAATGTCATGTCAATCACAAATGTAACAATCCAATCAGAGAACAGATGGGTTTGGCTGCCGGAGGGGCGCTTTTTTGAACTGCAGGTCCTTGAAGGGTGATACAGTTTGGAGGATCGCTATATAAATATCCGATAGCAGCTAGGTCCCCTAACTTTCAGCAGCTGTTGAAAGGAAAAAGTTGTGCTATATCAGTGGTTAGAAACACCATCATTACTTTAGGATTAGTTTAACACAAAGTTAGGGCTGACCCAGGACCACTGCTGTGAGTCACAGTGCGCAGCATAAAGGTCCTTTCACATCGGACGCAGGATGTGCTGCTAATGCTAACTGCTAACTAAAAATCCAAAATCTGTTGCGCTTGCTGCTGGGCTCTGTGGGTTTTTGCAGCAGCTCTACCTGTACTAGATGCACCTGCTCCTTGTCTTTTCTATCTCTGACTTTGTCCTCTACAAGAGTTTTTTTTTTTTTGCTGGTTCTTCTAATGTTCAATAAAAACATGTATGCTAATTCATAACGAAGAAAGCTTTGTAATGAAGACTGTCATTTCCAAGACACTGCCCGCCCCCACCCCGCGGTCCGCAGCGCTGTTGAAAAGGCTGTGGAAGTCCCTGTATTAAAAACGTAGACCTGTGACACAAAAATCACCAAACTCGGACGACCACAGACTGTTTTCCTTCGTGGTGATGAAGGAAAACGCTGGGTTGGCATGTAAAAGGGCATTTATTCCCTTCAAAGACCTGCAGTTCAAAAAAAGCGCCCCTCGACAGCCAAACCCATCTGTTCTCTGATTGGATTGTTACATTTGTGATTGACATGACATTGACCAATCAGATGAAAGGAAGAAAAATAGGGTCAAAATTCATACTTTTTTTTTTGGCTAAGTCCACACAAATTCTTTTTACACATACAAATCTTTTTTACAAGTACAAAATATTTATGACCACATTTTGAGCCCATATCCAGTCCTTGAGGGCTGCTGTCCTGAAACTTTTCCATGTGTCCCGCTGCAACACACCTGCCACCTTCAGCATTCAGTCAAGTTCTACAGAGTCTCGCTAATGACTAGAGATGGCACGATACCACTTTTTTTTATGTCCGATACCGATATCATAAATCTGGATATCTGCTGATACCGATATGAATCCGATATAGTGTTTTTTAATCAACAAAACTGTTTTTTAAATATCTTGCTGCATTTTGTATAAGTTCATACTCAAGTTTAAAACAACAACTACACTAAAGCTATTCTGTTATACCTGTATGCAAAAAAAAAATATTTCATAGTTCAGCAATACTGATCAATCTAATAAACTTAAACCTGCACCATCCTCCCTATTCTGGTATTTTAAAGAGTACTTAGCATAAATATTAAGCAACCTAACTAATAGGGTTCCAACTCCCAGCAAAAAAAAAAAAATAGGGAACCACCCCTCACGCTCCACCTCATGATGCTTAATCGACATAATCAACCTTAATTTGATGCAGTGTGAAAAAAAATGCACAGAAATCAATTATTTTTCAAGAATAATTAAATAGATTCAACATCTTTCTTCAACAGAACTGCAGACTGCACAGATGGTACCTTCCCAAAGGAAAAAGTACTATAGCTTACTAGGATATATTAGACTTAACAGTTACTATATACAATAATGGACTTCTATACATTTTACATCAGATTAAAACTTTGGGTGTCAGATTCAGATAATTATTTATTAAAAGCGAGACATTTGAAATGAGAATAAGAAAGAAAAGTATGTCTTTGTGCCCCCTTTTCCCTGTTCATGCCCTATCGGCCCCCCTGGCTAAACTTTGCTAGATCCGCCCCTGCAGTTACCAGCGTCAGCTACATAGAAAAAGATCCTGGAGTAGAAAGTAATAATAAATACATTCTAACAACAGCTGATCAAGCTTAAACGTGCTGCTGTTGTTCAGCCACTGGTTTCCTCTTTCTGGTGCAAAGTGGGCCAAAAACAAACAAGAGACACGGACTCGCGACAGAAAAGCAGATCAGCTGATCATTGTTCAGTTTCATGATTGAAGTAGCAGCAGGAGAGGCAGTCGCTCCATATATCGCTTGTTAAGCTTAACGCAGGAATGCTTTACAAACATTCAGAGATGAACTTACACACTTGCTTTACTTCTCTCGGGATAACTTCCTCAGAGATGAAATGCCGGTTTGGTAGTGAGGCTACAAATACTCACAGCCGCTCTATCACGTGATGCACACTGCTGCGACGTGCTACGGTTATGAGCCAAGTTACGCCGTGTTGCAAGTTTTGAAGTTTTGTGAGGTGCTTTTCTGATATTTAATGGATCGGATTACATTTTTTATTTCTCTCCGATATCCGATCCAGTAACTTACGTCGGACCGATACCGATACGTAATATCGATCGGTCCATCCCTACTAATGACCTACTTGTATTCAAGTGTGTTGCAGCAGGGACACGTGGGAAAGTTTCAGGAGGACTGGAGTTTGACACGCCTCCCACTAATAAAAACACATACTGGAATCATTGCTTTACAACAATCCCACTAGAAAAAGAAGTTGCTGATATCCTGAAATCCTGTAAATGGCTGGACAGAGCTGAAAGCTGACAGTATAGAGAACAACCCTGGAGGCACAGGAACAAGCCCTTTCCCCCAAATCAGCAGAGGCTGGGATCTACCACAGGAAAGACCCCAGATACTGTGCAAAGATGTCCCTGAGTCGAGCACGTAACAGCACATAATGTACATTTCAAATTCCTTTAATTTTAAATATGTTTATATTGTCTATCCTGTAAAATAGTCAGATGTCTATTCTTATTAATGTACAGAATTCACCTGCTTGCTGCTACTAACGCTAGGAGAACATGAGAAGCTCAAGGACTGAGAGGGGAGCTAAAGAGTCAAATGGATATGTACTTTAACTGATTATAAAGTCTGCAGTCTTGTTCCCGAGACAGTGTAACTGAAGTGATTTGAAGCACCAAACTGTCAGAGACTACCAATATGCTTGTATGCTTTTGACAGATTGATTAATTCTATTTGCTTATTTAATGAGAATTTTCCTATTATATCAAAGAGGATTGAAGTAAATCTTTACCTGTAGGAATTGATGTGTCATCCACAGGCAGGTAGGACTGTGCAGTGATGGACACCTGATGGTCGTAGATATCTGCTACACCCTGGAGCACAGATAAGATTTTTCAGATCATCTGTCATCCTCTCCATACATATAGCCACGTTACTCATCTTGATGTGAGGAGGAAGGGGTTGATCTGTCTGAGACTCAACCAACACTCACTAATACCAGAACATCCTGCCAAAATAGGCCTGCCTCCTCCTTTAACAGTTTACGAAATAAAATTGTGAAAAACTGACTGAGAGTATCAGTGTTTGATATCACGAGTTTAAGTTAATTTAGGGCAGAATGCTATTCTAGATTTCTCATTGGAATCACCTTTAAATCCATGTAACAGGAAATGATGTCATCAGTAAACAGGAAGCTAGATGGGAGGTTGGGTTGTATTAAAGACAGAGCTCATATGTTTTCATTGTTATATCTGTACATCGTGAAGAAGTAAAAGTGATGGTGCCTCGTAGCAGATGTTGCAGTTTAACCTTTCCCCGTGTCGTTACTGTGGATATTGGACTTTTTAACCAACAGGACTCAGAAAGTTCGGGTCAACGACTCTCTTTCCGGTCTCCGTTCCACCTCCACTGTTCTGCTGTCACTGCTGTCAGGCACTCACAACACCACGGGCCCGCTGTGCAGGAGTTTGTAGGGTGGTGTGACGGCTCCAAACTCGAACTGAACGTGAGCAAAACCAAAGACATGAACTGGCTGCTTCAGTCACCACCACCATCCATGGGAAGCCAGTGGAGGTGGTTGAGGAGTACAAATACCTGGGAACCATCTTTGACAACCTCCTGAGATTCTCTGCTAACACAGAGGAGATTCTCAGGAGGTGCCACCAACGGCTACACCTCCTCAGGAAACTCAACTCCTTTGGAGTCAGCACAGCCATCATGATGACTTTTTCCTTCGCCTTCCTGGAAAGCATCATGACCTTCTCCATCAGCTGCTGGTTCCACTCCCTCAGCCTTCATACAGGAACAGACACTGCATCAGTGTGCTCTACAGTCATTGGCCTGTCAGAACTCTGGCTCAGGTTTTCAGCAACAGGCCCTCAGACAGGCAGCCTGATCATCAACGACCCCTCTCACATTCTTCACCCCGCATTTCAGTGGCTGCCCTCTGGGCGAAGCCTCCGCTGAGGAGCGCCACCTTTGTCCCCTTAAGCAGCTCTGCTTTCTAACTCCAATAAGACCATTTCCCACACCAGAAACATAAACTACTCTACACTCTTTTTATACTGCCCACACTTTATTCACTTACAGTTATTTATTCACCTTTCAGTCACTTTAATTTAACAGCTTTGTAATTTTAAAACTGTGTATATTCTGTGTATTTATTATCTCACTCTTATTGCCTGCTTAGGCCCTGTCCTTAGCTTCAACGTCATGCTGCTCTGTTGTATCTTAACTGCCCCTTGGGGATAAATAAAGTCTCTGATTCTGATTGTGTTACTGTCGTTACACCTGTGGACCAAGAATCAGAGTGTGGATGTGGGGAAGGAGTTTAGAGGACTGCCCGTTCATAGCAGAGGCAACACACTGAAACCACACTTCCTAGTGGGTAAAATATTGTTTTGTAAGCCAGGAGACTAGCAGTGCCAACCACACAAACACCACTGTGCAGAGGCACCCAGAAACGTGTCCATGTCACTTACCTGTCCGGCCAGGTTGAAGTAGGAATGGTTGGTGAGGTTGATGGGGGTAGTTTTGTTAGCCTGTGCTTGGTATTCAACAGTTAGTTCTTCCCCCTGAGCAAACAAGTTCAAACTCAATATCTGTGCTGGCAAAACAAATGTCTGAGTATCACTAAACAGCAACGTCGAATTAGCTCTGCCAAAAGGACATTTGGGATGCAGTAGTATGAATTCCTAACCAGATGTGTCTACCTGCAGTGTGTAGGAGACAGAGACCTGAACTTCACCAGGATAACCCTGGTCTCCATCTGGACTGGTAAGACTCAGCTGCACACCACCTTCCACTGCTGCAGCAAGCCAGATAGCCTGCAGAAGCAAACACACATGAATCGTGGAGTACACAGGATACATAAAGTGCAGCTTACAGAGCTCAGTAAAATTCAATCTACAGCTGCCAACAAGTAGGTGTTGTGAAGTGATGGGTGTATATTTCACTCTGTGAGACCAACCCTGCTGTTTTTGATGTGTGAGGGTTTTCCTGTGGCGTGGATTGCACATGTAAAAAAGGGCAGTGTGTCCAGTCTTCTTTTCAGCCATTCTTTCATTTGTTCAAATTACAGGTGGAGCCAGAAGGAACTCATCAACATGAAGAACAGAATCGGCAATGCCAAAAGCCTAAGAAGAGCTCTGTACAGTAGTTTAGTGTTAAAAGCCTGTGTCGGTCATTTTAGTCTAAACCCAGAGAAGGAAGCCCCTTAAAAAACAAAACTAGTTGAAGAATTATGGCAGGACTTCTTTGAGCAGTCTTGTAGGATTGGGGTCTAAAAGACATGAGAATTTGTGAAGAAGTTCATGAAGTCATTACTAGTTAACGTTAAAGGGATGGTTGGCTCAACAGAGCTCTGACTGTTTGTCAGCCTGGCTACAGAGCTGCAGAGAAACCTTCTTATTTTCTTCAATCAGTGATGAATAGTAAGATGTTCTGGCTTTGCGGAGGGCTTTCCTATAACACAACAAACTATTTCTCCAAATGATGATGATCTTCTACATTTGTGACACGCCATTTCCTCTCCAGCCTACGAGTCGTCTGCTTTAGGCTACATGTTTTACAATTATACCACGGAGTCCAGTACTTCTGATTTAAGGGTTTTTTCACAGGAGCTACAGTATCCAGAGTCGTACGGAGTAAAGCTTAAAATTGTTAGCAGGATGACTGATGCCTGTGGGAGTCGTGTTCAGGTAGCTGCTCTGCACTGTGTGCACAAATTGTCACACATTACAAATAATGGTCAAACACTTAGCTGTGATTGGTGAAACATGTACACAGAGGGAAAACACATCATTTATACAGTTTTCCACAAATTGTGCTCCATGTTAAGATTGGAGCACAAACTAATATTAACCAGACCTCACCTTGTTGAAGCCTCGCAGGCCTCCATGCAGCGCGTTTGGTCCATTGTTAAGATCCAGCTGGTACTCCTTTCCCTCAAGGACAAAACGTCCCTTTGCAATCCTGTTTGCCACACGGCCCACCACAGCGCCCAGGTACCGCTTATCTGATACATAACCTGACAACAAAGCATAATACTTCTTATTGATATATGGAAGCTGGATATTGTAGTGGTAAGACTACACACTTTTGGGGCGGGAGTCACAAGTTCGATTCCCACCCAGTACTGAAAATTCCTGAAGAACTTGATTCTGTACTGGACTCAGCCGTGAAAACTGGGGACCAGAATAAGGACCAGACTGGTGCACTCTTGCCTATTTCATGCAGACGTGTTAGCTGGATCTGTGACGAGAGGTGCAGCGATGTGCAGCATGCAATGTTGAAAAAAAACTGGAGTCCTCGAAATCAAGACAAGTGATGATGTTTCAGCTTTCGTATATTTATAGAGAAGACTTATAATAGCCGCTATTTTCTTTGTGAATCTTTGTTACATGGCAGTTTATTACAAGTACCATTAGTGTTAAAAGAGACAAAGGAAAAACTAAACACTTGACACTAGGGATGGGTACCGGTGTCCGGTGCCATGATGGCACCGGTTCTAACATAAACGGTAGTAACCAGACCGAAAAGCAGCGCACATTTCGGTGCTTTATTTCGGTGCTTGATGTCATACACTTTCGATTTTAGCCAATCATTTTACGTTTCCGAGGATAGTAGGCGGGGCCAGGTACGTACGTTCTGTTAGAGCAGAGCTACAGATTAAAAATGCCCAAGGCGAAGCGGTCAGAAGTCTGGCTGTACTTCACAGCAAAAGATGCAAACTCAGCAGCCTGCAACAAGTGCTTTAAGCTGATACTGTGATACTGTCAAAGGAGGTAACACCAAGAATCCGATGAAACACCTGGCGACGCATAGCGTTTTTTTTAAAACCCCAGAAATGCGCCGTATTTGATAGCTTGCTGCGAGACCTCACACCGAGCACATCTACTGCGGGTGGGTTGCCTGTTATGTAACATCCCCCAAAAACACGAAGAGGAGAGTCCTGGCCCCTAGCCCTGCCAGTGTAGCAGAAATGATGACGGATGATGGTGGCAGCAGCTGTTCTTCTCTGCGTGAGTAGCTAATTTACGTTGAGTAGGCTAACCACGTTATTACATTAATGCATGTAAGGTGAACTAGCAAACATCATCATAGCTACATGCGGCTGTCTTCTTGTTTGATGGCAGATACTCCCTTCACCCTGGCCAAAAAGGCTAAAATGACCAAAGAAAAAGTGGAAAACAGTTAAACATGAGAGGTTTAGGACAAAGTTTGTGTTTTTTTCCATTGTTTAAGCACTGCTTCCAGCCAAGAGTGATACCATATATGCCCCATAGCTGCAGAAAAGGCTAACATTGTTATCTTTTTTACAAAAACCAGCTGAACATGAGAGGTTTTTGGACCAATTTTGTGTTCTCCATTCTTTAAGCACCGGTTTGAGCACCGGCACCGTTTCAAAAGTACCGATTTGGCACCGGTATCGGATAAAACCTAAACGATACCCATCCCTACTTGACACACTGGAAAGTGCCAGTGAGACAGAGCTGCAGGCCGTACTGCTAGTGACACAATAAGTATCAGGAATATAATGTGCACGTTTCTGAAAAACACTGCTGGGCGTTGCAAGAGGTTGAGATCAGTGAGCGCATCACCAATCCAATATATTAGTGACAATCATCTCCTTACTAAACAAATAATGGGTGTTTCCAGGGAAAAGACACAGAAAGTCTACTGCATGAGCTTCACTTTAGCCGTCGCCTGATGTTCAGATTCATGTGAAGCAAAAAACAACCCACGATCACGTCTGCCTGCACTAGAGAACCTGAACAACAGACATCACTTTCAGGAGTTTGTGCTTAAATTAACCACTTTAATCATCTCATTGCTTTTTATACAATTAAACTGGTTTATGTGCCGATAACAACACAAGTTACTTTCCCTCCTACCTTCCAGGTTATCATAGCCAAGGACTACATCCTCCATTTGTCCATCGTTCCCTCTGTAGCTCACTGATCTGATAATGGCACCTAAGGTTAGGACTTCCACCTTCACCTGAGGAGACTGGACAACCCACAGGTCCACGGTGCCCTGGCCAGGCCACTCTCCCCATGGATGATGGCTTACCTGAGTCATCTTGGAACGAGCACAGGAACAGAACATGAGCTTAAAATAATGGTTAAAATGTTACTTCACATTTAACTCAAATAAGTTTGGTCAGCTCTTACATTCCCACAGGCTCAATATATCTTGTTCTAGCTCACAGTAGAGTCAGCAGTTTGTACAGAGGCTACGAACATCTGTGTGAAGCCTATTAATGCTCACTGGACTGTGCACAAGAGTCAAAATACCAGCTTACAGTATTCCCACGTGTCTCTTACATACACACCAACACAGATAGTAAAGCCAAACAGTGACTGTCTGCCAAAAACTGATTTCCGGTATTTAGCAAAAACGGATTGTTCGTATTTAAAGTGCTATAAGTAACGTGTTGGGCTGTAATATGTGAAACATATGTCAACTGCGTCCCTCATGGATGACATAAAGTCTGGAGCCACAGCAACATTCGTGTAACAGTAACAGCAGTGACTTTTATATATATAATATATTTATATATTTCTGCAGTAAAAAAACTAATCTCATTAACAATGTTACGATAGTTCTGTAAAAGTATTTGAAGTGGGGATAAAGGAGCGCATTGGTTATAAAGTACAATAACACAGAGTTGTAAAGACTTGACAAACAGATCATTTTAATTCTACATGTAACCTCTTTGTAAACGCTGTTCACCGAAGTCTATTTACCAACATACGTGATGATATTACACGTGAAAAATACACGGAAACATTGCAAATCAGTTTTTGGCAGACAATCGCGTTCTGGCACAACAAGTTTGCTGAGTTTAGCGTATACAGGATGTGACGCTCGACCTGTCTTTACAGTCAGCAGTTATTCAGCACGACACGCTCCGAGCAGCAGCAGTACGCCCGCGCGTTCTTACCTTGAATACTTCACGCGCTCATTACTAGACTTTGGACCTGGTCGTGTTTTCCTGCTTCCGTTACTGATGACGCAGACGCGCAATGGGTGACGTCAAAGCTACTGGGCACGCCCACGTGGCGGGCAAAAACGATGTTTTTTAGTATAATATAGATTTTTTTAACGCGTGCACGTAAACAGTCGCTCATTAATGGCGTGTATATAACAGAAGAAGTATCACTGAGAAGACTGAAAAGCTAGTCACTGTGTCGACTTTACTCACAAACTGCCTGTAATATCATATGTTTGTTAATAACACAGCTGATGCCCACAAAATGTAAGAAAAAAACAGGACTAACGTAGCAAAGCGCTGTATTTATGTGCTAAAACCCAAATGATGGCATTCGGGTGCCAATGAAAAAAATGGAATAATTTTTCCACAGAGGAATTTTTCAGCACTGACCTTTTACATTTATATATTGTTTAGTTTGTTTTAAATATCCAGCCATCTTCATCCGCTTTATCCGAGGCCGGGTCGCGGGGGCAGCAGCCTAGGCTGTTTTAAATATTCAGGTTACAAATAAGCCTTAATGGGGTATTTTTCAAAAAGTTACTTATTGATGATAATGTCACTCTTTATTGATTTCATTATCATCTGCTTATGCACACATGTTGATGACTGAAAACATCTCCACCAGTTTACTCCTTGACACCTTTAAAGGTAAGAAAAATATGTATTTCAATTAACCTCAGCACTCTGGAGGACGCAAAGAAGACCCGGACAGTTTACAGTGGTGTAACGACGAGCACGTCGAGCACATGGGGAAACCAAACAAGGTGCCGTGACTGTGAAGTTTCTCAGTCATCCAGGTCATCATAGTTTAAGGAGCTTTAAGGAGCTGGACTTCTTTAAGTTGCATGAAGACGTTTCACCTCTCATCCGAGAAGCTTCTTGAGTTCTAAGGTCAAATGGTGGAGAGTCCCAGATTTAAACCCAGTGGGAGTGTCCCCACCCCAGTGTGTGAATGGGTGGATGACTGGATATGTAAAGCGCTTTGGGGTCCTTAGGGACTAGTAAAGCGCTATATAAATACAGGCTATTTACCATTTACCATGATCCTCTACCTAATCACATGAGCCAAGGAGTGAAAACGGGTGGCTCTGAGTCAGTATTCTGACATTGAAGGCAGAATTCTGAGGTTAAAGCCAGAATTCAGAGAAAATAGTCAGAACTATGAATAAAAAGTCAGAATTCTGACATTGAAGGCAGAATTCTGAGGTTAAAGCCAGAATTCAGAGAAAATAGTCAGAACTATGAATAAAAAGTCAGAATTCTGAGGTTAAAGTCAGTCCATTTTGTTCCACTTGGGTGGGGTGGGGGCTGGAGCCTATCCCGGCTGTCACAGAGCAAAAGGCACGGTCAATTTCTCACATTAAATTATCCAATAACATTTGAATAATAACAGTACTTTCTGAGAATTGTAATGTAAATACTATTTATTTAACATAAAACATCCACAAAAATACACATCTCATGGAAATGAAAGCTACACAACAGTTTTTTGTAGAGAGTTTTTCCCCCTTAAAAAAAATGCTGTTAAATCCAGAACTGAATTTAAAATCTTTCTCCTCAGTTACAAAGTCTTGAATAATCAATATCTTAAAAACCTCATAGTGCCATCACCCAAACAGAGCACAACAGAACACGTCTGCTCTGTTGGGGGTGAGTGTGGCTCTAGTGGTAGCATGGTATAGCTGCTAGTTGAAAGGTCAGTGGTTCAATCCCCGGCTGCTCCAGTCTGCGTTCAGAAGTGTCCTTGGGCAGAATGCTGATATGTTAGACAGAAAGAACTTGTACACATAAATGTGTTGGTATCGATGGGTGAATAAGGCATGTTTGTAGTGTTGAGTGCTCAGGCAGAGTAGAAAAGCGCTATATATTAAAACCTGTCCATTTACACCACTTTGGGTTTCATCATTAGTTCTTATTAACCTCTGGCTCTCTTCCACAATGTGTCTTCGTCCCCTCACCAGTCATGGCAGAGGGTTCCCTCCCCCTGAGCCTGATTCTGCCAGGTTTCTTCCTGTTAAAAGGCAGTTTTTTCTTCCTACTGTTGCCAAGTGCTTGCTCATAGATGGTCATCTGATTGTTGGGGTTTTTCCGCATTATTGTAGGGTCTTTATGTTATAATATAAAGCCCCTTAAGTCAGTACAGTTTAGGCTGGCTGTGGCTCAAGAGTTAGTGCATATCATTTACTTTTGGAAAGCTGAAGGCTTGATCCCTGGCTTCTCCAGTCTGTATTTTGTGTCCTTGGGTTGGAGGGTTGTCGAACTGCAGGCCTCGAGGGCCGGTGTCCTGCAGGTTTTAGATCTCACCCTGGGTCCCCACACCTGAATCAAATGATTAGTTCATTACCAGCCTCTGGAGAACTTCAAGACATGTTGAGGAGGTCATTTAGCCATTTAAATCAGCTGTGTTGGATCAAGGACACATCTAAAACCTGCAGGACACCGGCCCTCGCGGCCTGCAGGTTAGATAATGAACCCTCAGTTTCTCAGGATGCAACCATTGGAATGTGAAGCGCCTTGAGTCAGCTGTTGCTGTGACTTGGTGCTTTATAAATAAAATTGAATTGAATGTTGGAATGTCAGAAGACGTGCTTAGCCATAGATGAAAGCAGCGTATGTATAGATCCGTCAGCAGAGCTTCAGCTGTATGTTCAGTGTGTATCATGCTCTGGCTGGCCTCTTCAGAAACACAGGTTATTTCACACCAGCCAAAGAGTTGTTTCTGTTCAGTTTCTGATATTTTCTTAGATTTCAGATTTTGTTGTGTGTTGTTGTTGTTTTGCCTAAAACCCATAACATGACTGAAAAAAATGACACCGTAGAAACAAAATAGAGGAAGACACCCTATAACTTTATTGTTTTCACTCTAGAACAAAGCTTCTAAAAGGCCAAAAAAATGCCCTCCCTATAAATACAGATCTGTTCACGCATGTTGAGTGATTTGTAGTTACATCCAGAACATACTTTCACACAAATATTACATTAAACATCACAGCAAAAGTGTGCTTCACGCCCATCAGCACATTATTCACTTTATGTTGTACAGAACACACATGCTAGCCACTCCCCAAAATGACCCAGCTACAGATGCACACTGAAAAAGTGTTGCTACTACATAAGAATGTTTAGTTTATATACAAATGTTAAAAAGTGCAGTGTATTGAATATCTTCTTCACATTGTGCTTCCTTTAAAATGGATTGTAGGTATGGATATTGCTGTTATGCTCGAGCCCCATTAGTCTGTTGAGTAATCTGTAAAATTCAAAACATGGATGAGAGTAAATTCATTTAGACAGCGCCAAATCACAACAACAGTCGCCTCAAGGTACTTTAAATTGTAAGGTCGACCCTACAAGAATGCAGAACAGTGACTTTGTCCAATAGGCAGTTCATTTGTTGTGTATTTTTTTTATTCTACAAATGCATCCATTTGAAATAAAATGATTTGGATCTTTTATTTAACTATATATAAATGTTTCTGTAACACTGAGCGGTATTAGCATGAGCTGTGTTGCTGATCGGACGTTCCCATCGTGCTCTGGGAAAGTCTTTATGCTACCTTTTTCTATTCTAATTTTTCTAGTTACAAAAACATGACATGACCACTAGGAAGTCTTCAATCGTAGAGCTTTTCTATAAGTCAGACAACATGACTGCAATCCTAAATATGTTAAGTGCTTCAGCCAGCACTGTGACATAACACAAACAAAATTCAAGGAAAAACCAACATCAAATGTCCTGGTATAGTTTTGCCATGGTCATCAAAGACCACGAGGACCGTGGACAGGGAGGAGCGCTGGTTTGAGCGAGGAATCAAGGAGGACATTTATGTGAAAAGGGAAAGACCATCAAGGGTACATGTGTCCCTATAAGGAGCTTGGAAAGAAAAGCATCTGGACTTCATCTTCAAGAAACTTAAAGAAGTCCAGACGTTTTTCTTCCCAAGCGCCCTAGACTACGATAACCTGGATGACCTGAGAACCTTCACAGACATCTGTCACCATCTTACAATGCTGTGATTGCAGACATTCCCCAACTCTCTGTGAATGGTGGTCGTCCATGAGTGGTTGTTGATCAACGATCGAGAAACTGACCTCACAGCCATTGTTCATCAGTGGTGCTGGTTTCAGTCATTACACAAATGTTACCGTTTATTTTTATCGGGGAAACCTGCAGTCAGCCGAGACTGAAGACGTCACCTGGATGAGTTTCTCCGACTAACAAAAAGTGCTACGTCCAGAGGAACACAGTCAACTATCCTTACTTCGATGATTGCGCATGCATCAAGACATGTTCATCTGGGTCTTTAACTTACGATGTAAAGCGCCTTGAGGCAACTCTCAGTTGGTGCTATATAAATAAAACTATTGAGAAGATAAATGTGATCTTTCAGAAACACACACCTCACAGCCAGAGGCTGTTCTCGGGCTCTTCCTTTGTTGCTGTTATTTGTATGTTCATCCTTCACATCTGTTGCAGTTCTTATTGGAAGAGTATATGCCATAAAGCAAGTTTTAATGTTTGAGTCCACTCATCAGAATATCACTGGTGATTTACAGACAGCCTGGTTTGATAGTAGCTGACAGGCTTACTATAAAACGTAGACTGTGTCATCTTCAACAGGTTCAACCTATCAGAAAATAAATAGAAACATCACCTCAGCTGCCACAATACAGACAAACCAGAGCATTGCACATTCACTTGTACATCACAATCTTATCCAGCAGGTCGTTTTGTTACTGGAGTAATTAAAATAAAACTACTTTAGGTCAAACAATATTGCTTCAGAATCATCACACTTCATATCACCGGCATGACAAAACAAGTTCCTTGATATCGTCAAAGTTTCTTTTAATCACTGATGCAAACACGTCACTTCTTCACCTTTGGGATATTGAGAAAAGGGTCCGTTTGTTTGGTGAACTATTCTGGCTGCATATTCATCCGATCCATCCATTTTCTAATGCTTATCCGATTTAGGGCCGTGGTGGGTGTGAGCTTATCCCACATATGTTGAGAAGCGGGGTACACCCTGAACAGGTCACCAGTCACACAGAGACAGACAACTACGCACGTGACCGATGGCCACATTAGAAGTGGCAGTTATCTAACAGCAGGGTTCTCTCTCCATACTTTGCAAAGCTGGCTGGTCAACCTGTTGAGGAATTACCATTCCCTGTTCACAAGCTGCTAGAGCCCAGCAAAGGTTTTCTTGGCTTTCTCACTGAAACGTTTACCTGACTAATATTTTCATCCTTGGTGATTTTATGATTGTTCCCCGTTAGTATCGGCTCACCAGCACGTGCGTCGGTCATACGAGCTGAGACGCTTCATTTGGTTCTTTTACTTGTCAAATCTGTGTGTACATGCAACGCTGAGGATGCTACTTTCTCTCACCACGTGCCAGCCTTTTAAAATCAATGTTGCTGAAGTAAGAGTCGTGACCATGCTGCACTCTCGCTTGTGATCAGCTGGCTTGGCCCATTTGCAGAATATGTGCTGAAGTGTGAGGCTCTATCTCTACATCGGTTTAACGCTGTCTGCACTGCTGTCCTTTGAGGTCATACCGCCTTAAATGAAGGGCACTCAGTGCAGGAGAGCTTGCAGTGTCTTATGAAAGGTTAACAAATATCAGGAGGCTGTCAAGGTCTCAATAGCACAAATACTCACTGGTGCATTTCCTCAGTCTGAGCATGTCCCCGCCCTAACCAGCACTGCCGGCAGCTCTTCATCTTTTTCTTGTAATTAGAACATTAATTTTGAGAATTAGAAATGCTTGGTTTGTGTTCACCCAAACACATTCCTCTTCTCATCAGCTTTCTCGGCTTCAGACTAGTTCCAGTTTGTCCCATTTTCCCAGTGCATTTAATATGATCATTTCTACATTATTACTTATCTCTGCGTCAGGCTGGGGTCCTGTCCAGAGTGCCCCCCGAGTATTTCAATTGTTCTTAAATTATTGGTACCGTTTACTGACATCCTACTTCCTGTGCAGCACTTGGATTAGATTACAAGCCTGGAATCGCAACGCAGAAAGAGCTTCCACTGCACCACCATTCAGTGATATTCAATAACACTTTATATAACATTAACATATATTATAATACAATCTTTGCCAATGACCGGGTACTGGAGTTACAGATATTAGCACTGAGGTTTTATTCGTAACTTTTGATTGCCCTCCACACCTGTGCACATGCGCCTCCATCAGGTGGCTCTTAGTAAATTTCTCCATCCACCCCCTTTGGTCCAGAATACTGAAGAACTCGGTGCACCTAACATGTGTTCTCCAGTTAACTTCACCTGCCCTCTTACCCTTTCTTTGTGAAACGTCTACGATGTTGCTAGTCATGGTACATGACTGCCTGAGACTGGATACTTTTTCTGCGGCTATTCATTCAGTCGTTACCTTTGAGCCCCACATACATACTCATTGCAGACCATCTGATTCATAAATGTCTCATTACTACTCACAGGAAAACCTAAATAAATGAGCTTAGATGATGTCTGAATTGTGCAGTGTAAAGATAATGTTGAGCAAATCAAACACGTAACTCAAATACTCCTATAATCTGTTGCCTGCCACACATGCACACACCGGGACTAAAAAGGGCCCTTCATTTTTACAGAACAGGTGACAAGAAGCCAGTTCAATACTTTGCAATATTTGTGCAGTAAAATATCTGTCGTTTAAGTATGCCACTGAATAAGCTCGGTAAATCCATACAGCTGATGGGTCCCTGTTGCTGCAGGATGCTGGTTTAGCTGGTGTCACCCAGGACGGTCAGTATGGAGCTGGCCTGTGAGGCAAGTTTACTGCTGCTATGATCTGTGAGTTTACTGATGCTTTCCTTCATATTCACAGAGTTCAACGCCTCCTTCATGACACCTAGAGCACACAAGAACAGAAAGAGAAAAGTAAGAGGTTGATTGAAACAGATCAAATTATGCAGATGCACTGTAGCATATTCTCTGATCATCATTGGGTGTACAGTAGACTGTGTTCTTTAGAGCTTGGTTTGAATACATTACACACCTGAGTCATTGTACACCAGGACAATCTGTGACACGCTCAAACCTGGCTCCCTAAGAATCAGCCATTTTTCTTCAATAATGCTGCCGTTCTATGAAAAAGTCTCTGAAATAGCTGAGGATGCATGAAAATTCTGCTTTTTAAATTCTCTTTATTTTTCCACCATTTAAGTACACGAGGTAGCTACACAAACATTCAGGGCTGAGAAACACATTTAGGCTGTGCAACCAAAACAACTTTGCACCAATGTAAACACACTACTACTACTGGAAATATCTAATAACCATTTTGAACGGCCTTCGCGTCCTGTTACTATTAACATCGCTATCTGAAACACAGAGCTGAGTGACACTTGTGACGTTGTCATGGTCCCCGGGGTTGAAGGGTTTGTCTTCATTAGGACTTCATGGTCTATTTTCTAGTCTTGTTATTTAAGTCTTCTGTTAAATTACTTACGACTTTGTGTTTATAATTACTTTCTCTTTGTCTTCAACTACATTTCCTCTCTGGTTACACTGTCTCAGTCTCCCCTTGTCCATTGTTGTCCCACATTTGTATCTCCTAGCTCTGGTTTCCTGTGCTTCCTGGGTGAATGCTGCTCAGTGTCTCCTGAGCAGCGGTTGAGCAGTAACACAAGTAACGTGTTACTGTAATCCAATTACTTTTTTCACGTAATGAGTGAAGTAAAGAATCAGTATTGTAAAAAAGTAATTATATTCCTGTTACTTTCTCGTAAGCACGCTGCGTTACTAAACCGTGATTGTGTTTGTGAGAGCGTCTCATGACAGTGGCGAGCGTGCGGCGTCTGTGGCAGTAACAGACGGTGCAGATCAACAATGGACAACATGGAGTGATGGAGAGAGTACGACTGTGCACTCTGCGTGACAAATTAAACTTCAAATCTGAGCGAGCAGCACCCGCCGCGCTCCTGCTAAACAGCTGAACGTAGATTTAAGAGCAACAGGACTCAGTGCTGCTGAATCTTGGATTTTAGTTTTTTCTTCGGGCCTCCATATTTCATACTTCCTGTAACCTGCCTGTTTAATCTCTGTGACACTGAAGCTAAAAGGTGCACACGAGGTTTGCTTGCTGCATTTTTGTGGCTCCTTTGACACTGACATCACAGCTTTATCATTCTACATCCACTGGACAGAATTACTGCAATTTCTATGTGTTGCTTTAAAATCAGACACATACTGGAGTTAGCCAGGCTGCAAATGAGACCTAAAGCACTGAACTTGACCTCGACCGCTCCCACAGGATCCTCCAACATCTTCTTCAGCATGGGTAACAGGTCTGCCTCCCCAAATGGATCCTTCATAGACTCTGCATTGTTTACAGACATGCAAAAATAGGTAAACATATATTCTCTGATGGACATCATCTCTGTTCAGTATTGACATCAAACATCTTGTGTTTTGCTAAATTGCAACAGGTCATTATTGTGTTGTATTGTGTGCTGATCTGTGCAACCAGCGCTCAGTGGCACCTCTCTCTCTAAGGGGGAGCCAGGATCCCTCCCGGGCTTCTAGACTTCTGATTGGCCAACATTTCACACAGTCAGAATCTGAGCGTTTGACTTTGGTTTTAGCGTTTACACGTGGATGGAGATGTTTTTTCAAAACTGCACGTGTGGACAGGATTTTAAAAAATTTAACAAAAACTGAAAATCTCCATTTTCAGAAATACCCCCGTGTACGTGGCCTAAGATGAGTTGGTTGAGCGTGACTAATAACTGCATCATAAGGAGATAGTTAACATGGAGAGGAGTCTTTTTCCACTTACATTCAGATTTTCTCTTTGGTGGCGGATATGATCACTGATCCAGCGGGAAGAATTTGTAACTTGGACTAATCTGAATTTTAACATGATGCAGAATTGGTGAGCATACATTATTCAACCAATTCATTAAGTCACTGATATCTGAAAAGGTAGTTGTGGATGCAGTAAGGTCAGAGAGCAGAAAACTGAGCTGCTGAGTGCTCATTAAAGATGCAAGGTGTAATCGTTTTTCTCTGGGAAGACAACACTGGACGCACAACTGTGTCAAACATTATGCATTTGTGATCAGACGTGTACAAAGTGTTTATAGATAAACCTGTGTCCAGTGTGTGGCCACCACATGTTGCACTAAATTAAACGCCTTTGCAATGCTAAGAAATTCTGTGGTAGTGCAGTTAGAGGCACCATGAATATGTAAAGTCAGCTACCAAGATGCTTTTATCAAAATGAACAATAACAGATAAAAGAATTCATTTAAGAAATTACTGCAGGATTTGGGAGTTGATAGATTACAATATACAACAAGCTGTTTAAATAGTTCCGGGCGTTTGAGGAATGATGTGAAATTGTCCACATAGGCAATGTTTTCATTCCTGCAGCACCCTTTAACCAAATGTGCAGGTGGTCAACAGCTGAAGAGCAGTCAGAGTAATATCCTTCACACAGGCCCCAGGAGAGCAAACGGTACGGCCACCGAGCATCGCCAAGTGTTGAGCCATAGACGTGGGTAGACTCGGCCTTGAGGAGGTGGTCGATGATGAGCAGGGGCATGACCGCATGCGAGCGCCAAGATGCAGCTGTGGCAGCAGCGACAATAGTAGTAGTACCTGGCAGAGGAAAACGGCCTGCGTGGCAGGTCTGTGGCGCCACTGCAGGGAGGCTGACACACTGGAGCTGCAGCAGCTCGTCACGCCTCCTCTGCATTCAAGTCTGTACTGGGTAGTTGTTGTTGTGTATGTGTGGCTGGCAGCTGAAAAGCTGCAGCCGAGTGCAAAAGAAACGACAACTGAGAATAAAGAACAGTGTTTAAAAGTGTAGTGGTCAGGTCCGCCATGCGTCTGCTACAGCCTGGAGGAGAGCGATGGCTAGGCGTCTGTGCTGGAGCCAGGCAGCCTGGTGGAGTGTTGAAGTGGCGAGAAAGTCCGGGGGTGACACAGCTGCGACAGCCAATCCAGTGCCGAGCAGGCCATGAGAAGGAGGAGCATGTTGAGGAGTGAAATTGGACCAGCATCCCTGTTGGGCAGCCATCCCATCTTCATTGTCCAAACGGTCCCCATTATCGTTGGGCTGAGCGAGGGGCATCCAGTAGCCACGGATGCTAAAGCATCATCCTGCTCTGGAGCAGACGGCCCCACAGAAGACTGAGTATGGTGGGAGACCACAGACAGCCGAGGCTTGAGGACAGAAAAAACTGACAGACAGGCTAAAAACAAAGTCAGCCTTGGTAGAAGACAAACCAAGTCAGGAGCCTTCATGGTGTGTTGATTAGCAGTGGTTGCACCGTTAACCTTGTAAAGGATGTCAAGCAGAAATTACAGTTTCAACAGCAAAAAACTTTAGAAGCCAGCAAAATATGGTTTGAAAAACAGCACAGAGGCACTAATCATAGCAGCACAGGAACAAGCCCTGAGCACTAGATCCACAGAGGCTGGGGTCTATCACACCAGGCAAGACCCCAGTGTAAAGGTGCCCCTGTGACAATCCGGCACATAACAGCAGGGTGCAAGATGCTAGCAGGCAGGGCATACATGGAACGCCATAACCATCGTGTACAGAAACATCTGTGCTGAATATGGCCTGGAGATCCTCAGGTCACACTGGGAGACGCCCCCTGGTTTTGAATGCCAAGCTAAGATACTGTGGGATGTCCAGGTACAGACGGACAAACTGGGTGAGTGGCTCCAACAAATCCCAAGAATGAGTTCCGAGACCCTGTCCAGAGGAATCCTCAGTCCTGGGAATCTGGTGGAGGACCTGTGTGCATGTAACCTGCTGGTTATGGTAAAATATTTTTAAATCCCGGGTGGGTGTGCATGGGCTGGTAGTGTTTTGACGTTTCAATCATGAGGTCATTCTATGTACAACATATTTACGTGAGCCCAAACTACTGTGATACTCTACACGTCACTCACTTCCACAGACACCAAATTACAACGTGTTGTGAACACTAACAGACAGTGTTGGGGAGTAACAGAATACATGTACCGCCGTTAAGTATTTAAAATACTAAATATTACTGTTACAGTTTAAAAAGGTGGCATTTAGAATACAGTTACTTTGTTGAAATAAATGGATTCCACGGCGGTACTTTCCTGTTTCAGGACTGTTTGGGTTTTGTTTGTTCTGTTGTTCCAGGCGGCCGTGTTACGGTTGCCATGGTTACAGTGACACGCGCGCTCTCTGTGTGTTTCCTGGGTGAGAGAGCGCCTTTTTGTTGTTGTGCTAAGCTAACAGGCCGAATGCTACAGGCATCGCCCTAAAGCATGCAGCCTGATGGGCAGTGTAGTCCGTGCTGCAGGCAGAATGGACCGCCATACCGTTATGTGTCTGTGAGCGAGGGAGGGAGAAAAAGGTACGAGCTGTCACCGAGCAGAAACAGGAGCTGGAAGCATGTAAATATAATAATAACCACTGCAGCCAAGAAGAGAGCCTGACGAGCCCAGCTGTGAGTAAGCTGTTAAGACTCGACTGTACACCGTGTTCCTGTTTTCCTCTGAAACAATAAGCAGCCTTTCAACGCCTCTCTCTGTCTCAAACTTGACCCAGACAACAAAGTAAAGCTAGTTTTCAGCTACGAACCCGACGTATTAGCCAGCCATTAGCCTTTACTACGGTTCGGAGCCGCGGACCTTCAGTAACAGTAATAAATCACAGCAATCGTACATTCACGTTGTTGTAAACAGCATGATAATATATTAAGTAATCCAAAGTATTCAGAATACGTTACTCTCATCGAGTAATGTAACACGTTACAGAATACATTTTGGGGCATGTAATCTGTAATCTGTAGTGGAATACATTTTAAAAGTAACCTTCCCAACACTGCTAATGGAGTGCCAGGCTCTTCCTTTGATACACCAAATAATTCAAAGTCACTTCCAGACGAGACCAAACTAGTGTCTGATAGTTTGTACTTTTTAACCAAAGCCAGTGTTGGAACGTTCCCAAATATATTCCAGAGTAATTGCTCATTCCTACCTGGAGAACCCTTCGTAGTAACACTTTGGATCCTTCTAGGATTTAGAAGCGCTGCAGAGCTTCTTGGGCCATCAGAAATCTCAGGCCCAACTTGAGAGATCTCACTAGAACTACACTCTGACATGTCTGATACATTCAGCCGAAGAACTTGAAATTGCTTTACCAATGTCAATGGCACTTGCAATTGCCAGGGCAACCAGGGCTTCATTCTGCATGATGACATGTTCACTTGATGCCATAGAAACAAGATGCCGAATTCCATTGGCTCTGGCTACCTCACGGACAACTTCCTGTTAAAGAGAGAAAATCAGCCGATCACAAGATAATAAGTGAACATCCGACAAAGCGAGTTCGATAACCAACACAAACAAATTAGAACTTAAGCAGAGAAACATTCCCAGTAGAAGAATCTGACTCACAGAGTTCTGACTATGTCTGATGAGAGCAGCCAGCAGGCGACTGGCTTCTCCTCTGACTCCTGCATGATCCTTGGCTTCGCACCACTCCATGATCCGATCGAGTAGGTCAGCGTCTCTCCCCAGCACTAACGCAGCTTCCTCTGACACACAGTGCAGCAGAGGGTAGAAGATGTTTGTTTTGACAACGGTTAATAAATACTGCCAGCTGTACATGGGGGAAAAGATGTACTGTGTATTACATTAATCGGAGTGAAGCATGAACTTTTGGTGGGTCTCCTCATGTGAAATGTAATTTTGATCCTCGCACAACATTTCTGTTGAATTAACGTCAGGTGTTTGACTTGGCGAGGTGCTTTTCCTTTGTTGTTCAGCGTTGTGTTGACGATGGCCTCGTTGATACCTTCAAATTTTCGGCCTGGATGGAAGTTTCCATACTTTCATTTTATATTTTCATTTAATTTCTTTAAACGGGCTTTCTGTTTCGGACGTGTGAACATCTGGTAACGACTACACAATGTGTCCCATACAGAAACCCAGAGCACTCATTATCCCAATCCCCTTCAGACCTGACACCACATGGACAGGTGTTTCACTGGATCTGCTGATACATTAGCCCCATAGTTTATTTTTGCAGGAAAGCAGTGTGTTTGTATGCTGTTTGGTGCCCAACGGTCAATAAGAGGTCTTCTACCAAAGGGAAGAATCAAAGTTATCACATGTCATCAAAACTAAACAATTGTTGCTTCCAAACTGAAGCATTTTAAGCATGTTGCTCACCGTGTCCGTCCACCATCATACGCAGAGTGCCCAGCAGTTTGAACTGAACTGGGGGCATGTCCGAGCGCAGCAGCGTCTTTATTCTGTCAGTCACCCCGTCCTCCAGCATTCGCACTTTGTTGGTGGCTGGGAACACACACGTCATATTATCGACTTTCTCAGCGTTTCACTTTTACTTCATCAATTCACATTGATTTTAAGGACAAAACACATTCAGGATCATTTTAGGTTATGAAATGTACTTGAACTTGTTTCTTTTGATTGCTTAGGCAGTGGAAGCCTGTACCAGGAATGGCAAGGTTTCTGAGTGCGCTTAGTCCAGCATGTTGAACAGATACGTCTCCTTCATCTACGTGCTGCTCCAACAATGTCAGGATGTGAGGAACCACTCCGAGGTCCAGCATCTTCACACAGTTACTGTCTGACAGAAAAACAACAGTCCTCAAAACCCAACTACTTAAAAACAAACATTAACATGAAGGTCATGTGGGGCTTTTCTCTCTACTGTGTAAAGCAAGAATTGGTGCACAAGTTTTAATTTTGTTATTATTTTTTATTAATTATACACACAGTCTCAAATACTCGTGCAGTAGAATAACTGACTAACTGCTAGTTTGTCTGTGCCAGCAGGACTTGTGTTAGGTTTAATGTATGTGCTGTAGGTTGCCATTTAGGAAGCTAGAATGCTTCTGTTTGCTATCCAGGTAACCCACGCACATGACTACGTGCACGACATCGATAAGGGCAACAAGCAGCCTTGAGAAGAACAGATTCTACCAACAACAACCTGGCAGAGCTGCACTCCCATCATATAACCACACATTGTATAACCACGCTTGCACAGCACAATCACACTTTGTAACCAGTTATAGTAATTTCTCATAGGTAATACAGCAACATGTTTTATGAATGTTCATGTGTGTAAGCAATAAAAACAACCTGCAGGGGGAAAGCAAGTTGAAGTGGGCTGGAGACAACTGCTTCCCCCTCGCGAGTGAAAACCTGAGCTCTGTGTGACCTCGTCCCTGAGTGAGCTGTTTATCCAGCAGTGTGAGGGGTAAAACTCTGACAACTTGTGTGACAGTACTCACTGGGCAGACCAATACACAAGCTACTGGACCAGAGTGAAGATCTATGAAGAACTGCAGATTTACACAACCTGGGAAGTTCTCCTGGGGCCATTTCTGTACAACTACAGATTTCTGAATCACCACTTCAAACAATTTATTCTGATATGTCCCCACTTTGTCCATGTCTGAGACCCACACTGTCCACAATGATGCAATTTTTACATTGTCTGGGGGGGGCTGACAAAGAAAGAAACCCAACCTTGCTCCACAACCGACACCTTCAACCGTGACTGAAAGTTGCTGCTGCCCTCATGGATGAGCCAAATGCCTTCTGGAGAAAAGGTTTATGGTCAGAAGACACAAAGATTGAGCTAAAATGTTAAGAGGCATGTTTGGAGGAGTAACGGCGAGCCTTTCAAACTGGATGTGGGCCTGAAAAAGACTGAAGTCTACCTTATCTCTCATCACATCTGAGAGTGGGTCAAAAAGTAAGAACTATTTGTATTAATGTGGATTTAATACTCAGATTTTTACCTTTATGGTTTCACAAAGGGTTAAAAAGAGGATGCACAAAATTAATATGATTTACTTTTTGCAAACGCGCATAAAGAAACTCTGTTACAGCACTTTGCATCACTGTAAACATAAAACCTTTCACCCACTCTCAGATGTAATGAGAGGTAAGCTGGGGGCACTTCAATCCCACCTTTCTTCACGGTTTGGAAAGCTCAGCTTTACTCCTCCACACATAACTCTTATCATTTCTGCACAGCAGTAGTGTAAATTAGCCTTTATACACGTAGTGTTTTGCCCATTTTAAAGAAACAGATCTTTGGGCAGCTTTCCAAGCCACTGATTTAAACCTCGTCCTCTTCCAAAAGCGCTGCCGCAGCAGGTATGGCTGGTGGGAGTGGCTCTGCAAAGCTACTCGGGTCTTGCTTTTTTCCCCTGGAGGCTAGAGGCAGTTAGAACAGCGTCCTCACTCACCGGCTCCATCCAAGCTCTGCACTGCCTGCTGGGTAATGCTCATAGGATCAGAGACTGGACTTTTTAAACAGAGCGCTGATCCAGACTTCCTGTAGTGGGGTGCTGGTTCCACAGATCAACAAAACCTAAGAACACCGTACCAGCAATCCACCATGGTGCTGGCAGCGATATGGTCTTGGGCTGTTTTGCTGCCAGTGGTAGTGGTACAAGCTGGATGGAATAATGAAGAAAGAGGACTACCTCCAATTCTGTAACTTCATCTCAGATCAGCAGCAAGACAGAAAGTTGGACACAGCCGGGTGTTCCAAAGGGACAATGATCCCAAACACATAACACGACTGGATTAGGAAAAGATAAAGCAGGCTAACAGCCCCAAACTCAGACTTGTTGAAAATTTGTGGAATACATTTCAAATCTGGATTCATCCAAGGAAACCAACCAATTTGAGTAAACTATCAATTCTGCCAAGACGATTGGTCAAATATCCATCCAGCATTATGCCAGAAGCTTGTCGATGGCTACCAAAAGCATCTGGCCGAGGTACAATATGTAAAGGGATATAAAACCAAATATTAGGGTATAATTGAGTATTTTAGTATACTTTGACTCCACGTGGATTAGAAAAAAATCAAAGTAAATTCCAACTTGTGCAGCCAATTGTTGTTTTTGGGGTGATTAGAGATGTGTGCTCTACAACAGCGGTCCCCAACTCCCGGGACAGAGACTGGAGCTGTGTGGTTCTGGGCCGCGAGAGCTGGGGCTCAGGTGTGAGATTGGTGGTTTCCCTGGGTCTTTTCCCGTGTGTTATAAATACATTTTATTTCTTTTGGTACCGGTACTGGTTTTATTTTGTTGCATTTATTTGCGACACCTTAAAAGCTGGTTTGTGAAAATATTGTCGGACATAAAAAGGTTGGGGACCGCTGCTCTACGAGCATTTCACCCCAGAAAAACATCACGTGATAACACTAAATACCACTGAACACAAAAAACAGTATGTTAAAGAAACTGTTAATGAATGAGAATGACGTGTTACATTACACTATTTAGAAGATCTTGTACCAGTTTTGATCTGTTTAAAACATCAGATTTAAAAAAACGTCCATTTCAAATTTAATGTATAAGCTGTAAACTGTCTGGAACCTTTCTGCTGAGGAAGTAGAAGAAAGTGGGTTTTTGAGATGTTTCACCCGGAAAAAAATGGGTGAAAACCAAGAAAAAGAAATCTGAAGTTATCTTAAAAAAAGTTTAGAGAGCTGTAAAGAGTGGAACTGTCTCTCAGACTCAGTCAAAAACAGTCAAAAAGACCATGTAGTGTGTCCTTTTGACAAACATCTCACCATTCCTGGCGAAGTTGGCGATGGCCAGCGCTCCCGATAGCTGCAGTTGGGTGTTGGAGCTCTGGAGCCATGACAGAACATCCTGGTACACCAGACCTGATCCTTCACCAAAACACTTCTGCATGGACTCATCTGACACACAAACAGGCTTTTGAAAATAACTGAAAAAGCAACGTGACAAAATCACATGATTTAGATTCACATGCAGCAGTGACATTAGGTAAATCAATACACTAGTGCACCAACACCAGAGATTAGGTCGGTCACAACACATTCAGTGACAAGTGCAGTGCGTTTCTTTTATTTACCAATTTTTGTTTTGCAACTCGACACAATGAACGTATTTACTGGACAATCAGAGAGAAAAATGCATCTTTCCCTGACGGTTATTAGTCCTCGTCACCAGTGATTCAAGTGTGCCTGTAATCAGTTTTAGCCAGATGATCAGACATATGTTCTACCTCCGTGCTCTTTGAGTGAAACAAAATCCAATTTTGGCACTCCCCGTTTTTTACTATTAAATGAGCCACTAAATACTTGCTAAATGTAGCTGTTTCTGAACCAATCATAGATGTTTCTTGTATAAATGCTGCATCTGCTCAATGTGATTTGAGATAAAGCAAACATCTCTTAAGCTTAATGGAATTATTAGCACCCCTGCTATGCCATGAAATTACTCGGTCCTTTCTTTTGTGCTTCCACTCTTTAACATACCTCTGACTTTTGCCCAGGAACAAACGTTTTCAGAAGTAACACAAAATACCAAAATACCCCTCCCCTTGAGTAAACAACCTGTCAAACCCACCAACAAACAACACACCCCTCACTGTGATGAAATCCAGTGCTATGTGGTCATCAAACCTCATCTTCTAACTACAAGAACGGAGTCACAGCATGGCAGGGAAGGTCAGCGTGAGCCAAATATTCTTTGTCTGCAACTTTCTACGTGCTTTAATAATCTCACATTCTTTTTCCATGCCCTGCACCTCTGTTTTATGTTTCTCCTTCACTGCATCATCACTCGCTCACATTCCAGGAATGTCTGGAATATTCCAATGATAGTGTGGCAGTGGTGTGGTCTTTGGCTCAAGGGGCAGTGGCAGGGAGGGTGATGGAGCAGGTGGAGATGTGGTTCTAGTGAGGTCTCCTTCCCTTTTTAGTGACCTGAGACAGCAGTGAGGAGTCAGCTGCAAAGACGTCGGTGCGAAACGAAAGAAAAGTGTCTGGATCATTTACAGAGAGGTCTCAGCTGATGATCATTATCCAGAATAGGCAGAGTTAGGTCTATATATATATATTTGGACACTGACACCAGTTTGTTTCTTCCCTGTGTACCTAAACATATTCTTGTTGTGAGTTCATCCAATTTAAAGGTATCAGCCTTTAAATTGGATGAACTCTTTAGAATTTCAGCTCTTTAACATTTGCCACTCTGGCAAATGACCAAAAACAATGGGACACTTGAGTCTATTTCAATGCCATGTGTGGACATTTCCTTTGTTGTTTCATTATCAACTAAGCAGGTTTGGAGTTGACTTGAGGTGGTGCTTGCATTTGGAAGATTTTGCTACGAACAGACAACATGCAGTTAGAGGAGCTCTCCATGCAGGTGACACAAGCCTCCTTAAACTGCGAAAACAGAAAACAAACACCTGAGAAATTGGTACAATATTGGCAAAACCTACAGTTTGGTAGAAAGAAATCACAGGTGAACACAACGACGCAAAAACACCTGCAGGTCCAAAGAAGACAACAGTGGTGGATGATCGCAGAATCATGTCCATGGTGACGATTCCACAAAGAAACAGCAACTGAACGTCGCTGCAGTAAAGTCCTGGAGGCGCATTCAAAAGGAGGAAAGCCGGTGGTGTCCATGAGTTCAAGGCTGCAGGCTGCCACTGCCAGCAAACGGGTTTTAATCAAGCGTTAGAAACGATTTTTTTATTTTCAGCTATTTAATTTGTCCAATTACTTTTGAGCCCCCAAAATAAAGGGATTGTGTCAAAAATGCTTTTTGTTCAACTGAATTAAAGCTGAAATTCTGCACTTCAGCTACATCTGAGTCGTTTCACTGTGATAACGTGCAGAACAACACTGAGAAAAACGTTGTCTCCGTCCAAATACTTGTGGACCTGTATGTACTAGAGATGGACCGATCCGATATTACGTATCGGTATCGGTCCGATACTGCCCTAAATTACTGGATCGGATATCGGAGAAAAAAAAAAAATGTAATCCGATCCATTAAATATCACGAAAGCACCTCACAAAACTTGCAACACGCCGTAACTCACCTCAGAACGTTAGCACGTCGGAGCAGTATGCATCATGTGATAGAGCGGCTGTGGCATGCGGGACCTGTCGGTGGTCTGGATAGCATGTGGAGCTTCGCTAGCAACCCGGCATTTCATCTCCGACAAAGTTATCCCGAGAGAAGTAAAGCAAGTGTGTAAGTCCATCTCTGAATGTTTGTAAAGCATTCCTGCGTTAAGCTTAACGAGCGACTGCCTCTCGCTCTCCTGCTGCTACTTCAATCATGAAACTGCTTAATGATCAGCTGATCGGCTTTTCTGTCGCGAGTCCGTGTCTCTTCTTTGTTTTTGGCCCACTTTGCACCAGAAAGAGGAAACCAGCAGCTGAACAACAGCAGCACGTTTAAGCTTGATCAGCTGTTGTTAGAATTTATTTAATATTACTTTCTACTCGAGGATCTTTTTCTACAGCTGACGGCTGTAACTGTGCAGGGGCGGATCTAGCAAAGTTTAGCCAGGGGGACCGATAGGGCATTAACAGGGAAAAGGGGGCACAAAGACATACTTTTCTTTATTCTCATTTAAAATGTCGAGCTTTTAATAAATAATTATCTGACACCCAAAGTTTTAATCTGATGTAAAATGTATAGAAGTCCATTACTGCATATAGTAACTATTAAGTCTAATATACCCTAGTAAGTAAAAAACAGTTTTGTTGATTAAAAAACACTATATCGGATTCATATCGGTATCGGCAGATATCCAAATTTATGATATCGGTATCGGACATAAAAAAGTGGTATCGTGCCATCTCTAGTATGTAGTGACCTGTGCTATCAGAGGTTTGATATGGTCTGTACAGTTTTGCACCTTCTACACGTTACTTCACTCTAACAATCACAGATTAAGACACTGCTGCTCTTTCTAGCTGGTCACGCCTCTTTGATGTCTTTAGCTTCTAGCCAGCTGTTCATAATGCGACGATCTGCCTCTTCCAGGTCTCATTTCTGTCGGCAATATCTGTGTTAACTGAACTTGTGACGTTTTCACAGCACAGACGTCCTCCTGCAGTTGTTTAAGCACACTGAGTTGGGACAAAGTTCAACAAAAGCATTCGATGCAATACTCCAGGCTGTTAGAACTTTCAGCGTGGTCTCTGTCACCATGCTTGCATAGCTTCTGCCCTGTTTAGCAATGCCACTCTTAGGTGTCATTTTAATAAAAAGAAACCTCTCAACACTAAGGGAAACTACTTACAGACAGTAGATGCCCAATGAGAGGCAAAGCCAGGGGGAACAGAGGTTTTGCTCAGGAGCTCTGCATTAGGCGAGCGTCTTGGTGAGTGGATCCCAGCGCAGTGCAATTTCAGCACTTTGTCTTCCTGTTTGTCATCTGACCACTTCTTCCTTTCAAACCTACACTAAGACAATGTTGTTGCTATGCATTACGTACCCCCTAAAAGCAGGGACACCATTAGGTTGGAGGCAATCTTGATGCTGCAGAGGTCATGTGGGTCAGACCCTCCCTGCAGACTCCGAATCATCTCGGATAAAGCTTCTGGGACTCCTGACTCTGCAAACTGTAGTTTCAGAGTATCTGGTGGCACAGAACAATTCATTTCAATTTACTCACAGAGCACCGGATCACAACAACAGTTGCCTCAGGACGACAACCCAACAAGTTTTACTACTGTCTCCATTAATCATGAACACATGCATGAAGAAAACTAATGTTTGGACTTTATTTTGTTACTGAGCAGCACATGTGGTAAAAGGCTTTGAGTGCTTTCATAATAGGAGACACATTTTCTTAGTTCAAGTCAAGGCAATGTATTTCACAATAAGTTGAAAACAATAAGCACATGCCAAGGCTGCTCTCCATCTCCCTCAAGCTTCCTACAACCCAAACTCCAGAAAAGCTGGGGCTCTGCGTAAAAAGTAGACCAAATACAACGGATCTGCAAATGTCGTAGACGCATTTAAACTGACATTAAAACACAGAACACTGATTTAATATTTTAGTAGCTCATGAAACGTATTAGCTCATTGTGAATTGGATGAAAGCAGCATGTTTCAAATAAGTTGGAAGTGGAGCAACAAAAGGTTCGAAAAGTACACGGTACTAAAAAGAACGTTTCACCGATCGATTAAAAACATGCCCTTACCGCTCTCTCCCAGAGAGCCCAGTATTTCCAAAATGACATGTCGGCGTTCAGCATCAGGGGCCTGTTTCAGCTGAAATATCAGTACATCTGCAACATCCAGCTGTGCCAGCGCCTCCCTTGCAGAGTCTGCAAACACATGTGGTGTGTAATCAGCTACAGAGTTAGTGACATATCATAATCACAGCAGAACAGCTGCACAGTGGATCGTTCTTTTTTCCATTTCTGAAGCATTAGCCCACCTCTCCTCTGGGACACCTGGATATGTTAACTGTGTAAGCTGTAATTAGTCACCCCATTAGATCACAGTAGCTAAAAAGAACTGTGGCTAAGGAGGTAGAGCAGTTCAACAGGGCAGTGCTCTGAGCAAGATACTGAACCCTAAATCTCTCCAGGTGCATGCCATATTAATACCAATACATTTGTAACGTACAGTTTGTTGAGTAGTTAAAGCATGGCTGAACTCAAATGCTAAATGCTTTCTTCTGTTAAAAGGCTTTAAAAGATGGCCTGACGTGGTTACCACAGTGACTGAAAGTATTTACTGTGTCAGCCATTTATCTCTGGCATGTTGCTCACAAAAGAAAACCCTCCCTGCTTCATGTTTAGGGTTGCAGGCAGTGTTGGGTGTAACGCGTTACTGTAATTAAGTTACTTTTCCACTGAAAGAGTAGAGTAACTGATTACTGTTCATTTTTAGGTATTTCAATTACAGTTACTTATAATGTACTTGCGTTACATGGTAAAATA